TCTCCAACTCCCTTGATTCCCAAGGAATGGCAAATACAAGATGGATCTCCATTTGTAAACTCTATTTATAGCTAAAACAAGGTATTGCTAACAAAATGCTATTTAAAAAAAATCAAAATATTTATAAAACCCCAAATTATTTACATTGGTAATTAAGGACATATACTCCAAAGTGATTAACTCCATTCTGACTAAACAGCCATCCATAAATTAGATTTCCAAGTACAAATGAGGCCAACTTAGTAACGCTAAGCCCCATTTATTACAAAGACAAGCTTACTCAAGGCCAATTTAGCAGACAAGTAGCAAAAATAATTTATTCAGTGGGGAAGAGTCCCCAACATTAATATTCCTCAACACAGTGTCTCCAATCCCTGTTGGCTAACCAATAAATCCCTAATGTTCCAAATTCATCTATCTTATGTTCTCCAACAGCTCCTCAGAGCTCAATCTAACTGGGAACCATCACATTCCACTGCAAAGTCTTTCCTTCTTCCTCTTTTTCATGCATAGAGTCAGAGGTATGTGTAGGGTGGTCCATAAGATGGCAGCCATGATGGTGTGACTTTTAGGAGCATTGCGTGAGCAGACAGAGTTTCAGTCACACTGCCACAGTTGCCCATCATCTTGAATGTTTTGACCATATCCTGTAGAAACGCCTACATGGAGTGCTGTATCCTGGTGACCCCAATTGTGGTTTGATATTGAGGTTTTGGCTGGAATCCTAAAGAGAAGCGCTTGATGGAACTAGCTACCAAAGACAGCAGGGTTGGTGTCAGTCCTGCTAAGCAGACCAGGCCAGGAAATGAACTCCATGGGTAGGTTAAACTACTTTTATTGCAATTGGTATAGTAACAGAACCTTGCAAGTCTGAGGGTGCTCTACCACCTCCTTTTTCTTACACTCCAGGGAATCAGGGAGGCATTTCCTGAGCTGCTTCTGAATGTTATCATTCTGGATTTAAGAAATGTTTGGGCTCCATTGCCTAGGTAACAGTTCAAGGTCACTTCTTTACTCTCTACGGCAGTGTTTCTCAACCTTGACAATTTTAAGGCATGTGGACTTCAACTCCCAGAATTCCACAGCCAGCAATGCTGGCTGTGGAATTCTGGGAGTTGAAGTCCACATGCCTTAAAATTGTCAAGGTTGAGAAACACTGCTCTACAGTTAGCCATGTGCTCATGTCATTCTATATGGTCTTTCAGGATGCTTTGTGCCACTGCAGGCTCTAACATTATTAAGGGATCAGGAATGACAGGCCTGCATCCAAGGTGGGGATTTCAAGCTAGGCCTCCGTTCACATTTTTCTAATAATGGGGTACAGTAACTCTTAAACCACTGGTGGAAAACTTGGGCACTCTCTTCCCCCGAGCATATTTTATTACAATCTGAGCCTCCTTTTTCACTAGCTTTGTTGGCAGGGCAGCTTGGAGTTATAGTCCGGGAACATCTGGAATGCTGCAGGTCCCCTATTTCTGTCTTCGACAGACTGATCCTGGGGCAGCCAGGGAGAAATGCAGATTTGGTATTACTTTTCTGCAAGCCAATTGTGCACTCCCTCCCTGTCCAGCTCCCTCAATGGGGCTTTATGCAGAAGGGCAGCAGGCATGGCTGCTGCATCAATAGATAAGAAGATTGAGCCAGGAGCAGTAAAGGAATGAGGCGAATGACAAACAGTATCCTCTCTATCCCCTACCTCCCGTCTGTTTCCAATAAAGAGATTGCTGCTCGGATCTATAAAGCTTCTCCTGTCTTTGCAGGTGTCATAGGAACTTGGCCCTGGCTCTGCAGCGAGACACATTTATTACCTCGGGGACTTGAACATTGATCATTCATTCCCTTCCAAGCGCAAAGAATGGTCATTTTGCACCAAGCTGCCCCTGCCGTCCGTTGCCGTTCCCTTTGCCAGTACATTTGGCCAGTTGTTCTCTTTCAGCCTTGCTCTTCCTGTTGCATTCTGACTGTTCAATGAAGAAAGAGTAAAACCGGATGGCTGGATTCAGTGCAGGGAAATTACTTCAGAGCAATCTTTGTTTTTCCTTTCACTCCTTGGAACACACTTGGCCCTGCGTCCCAGTGAACGGGTTTGTTTGAACCGTTTGGAACATCTCAGAAGCGAGCAGAATCGCTCACATCTTTTGACGACTCCCGAGACTTTTGCCAGGGTGTTGTTGCAACAAAAACAAAATATAAAAGGATACCCCCGCCCCCCAGAAAAAACAGCCCTGACTCTGCCATTGGTCATTGTGCTGTAAATCAGTTAGCGCCTTCTAAGCAAACTGTCTCTTTTATTGCATCAGAGAAAGCTTGCACAGGAATTGGCTTAAACTGCTAACTACAGAATGGCTTAAGAGTTTGAGTTGGGGTTTTGTCTTTTTTTTAATTTCCAAAGAAATTCACTCTTTGAAATCAGCTTTATAGATCTGTGGATGCAATTTCACAGCACACTGAATCACATTGTTTTAAGACTGTTTAGCTGTCCTATACACAGGGATACTTTTAAAGCTATTCCAAAATTTAAAATCAATGTTAATGGCCTATTTTAAACTCATTTACAAAGGAAAAGAGACTTCTCGCTCTCTTTCCAGACACACACACAGAAGCATTTTTTTCTGTGTCAACACAGACTATAATTTTCTTCTCATTGGAAAAAAAAACAGGCTTGGCCAGAAGATATAGAAATTAAGGCATTTAATTTTAAAACTAGAAAATCTGCCATGATTCATTATATTGTTCCTTTTCTTAATTGCAGTAAGTAGTTATCCACATTTTTATAAACTTATAACATTTATAAAATGATCTTTTTAGTATGTTTTAATGTTTTTGTTTAAAGTCACTGAGTAAACTTTTGTAGTTTTTCCCCCCCTATGTGTACTGCAGCTAGATTATTGTGCTCTCCTATATACCTAATAGTTTGTTATTTCACTATGGAATTCAGTTAAAACAGCAGAGAGAATTATTTGGACTGATTATCTGCTGTTGAACGTATACCTCCCTGATTAAAATTTAGGTACAAACTAGGAGAAAAAAACAGATGTACTAGTGATCTGGAGGGCTGATAGTGAAGAGGCCATATTGGCAGTTTATATCAAAATCTTTAGGGTGATCATGTTAAAAGGGACTGTAAAAAACTGCAATAGGTCCTTTCTCAATTGAAGGAACAGGTTTTACATGGAAAATGCACTTTAGTATCAAGTGATATTGCTGACACAAAACATCTGGGTTATTTAATGAGATCAATTAATTAATGGATTTGAGTTAGTGTGGACTTACCACAGATTTGAAGTCATGTGAGTAGCTCAATAAAAATGTCAACCAAGCCTGCGACTGCTTTAAAAAAGGTAAATTCCATGCTTAAAATCATTAGGAAGAAAATTGAAAACTGAACTGCCAAAATAACACTGTCCATACATCACACAGAATATTAGGCATATTATATTGTTAAAGATTATGCAACTATTACAACAAAAATGATTAGGGAGCTACAACAGTTCCTGTATAAAAGTTAAAGTAACAGTATTCTTTAATTTGGAATGGAAGTTACATCAGAGGAGATATAATAAAGGCACATAAAATCATACATGGCATATATTTATTTATCAGTCATTTATTTGCCACCCATCTTATGGTTTCTGTGATTTATGAGGTAAGATCTTCCTCCCTCCCTCAGTGTTAGAACTCAAGGTCATCACTGAAACTGAAAAGAAGATTAATGGTGGACAGAAGGAAATAGTTTCCACACAGCATATAGTTAAACTGGTAGCAGTTTAATTGATATGGTTTAGTTGATATGGGTGATTTTAAAAGGGGAATGAACACTTTTATAGAAGATCAGGCTATGAGTAGCTACTTTTTTGATGGCTGTTAGGGGGCTACTGCTCCCTGGTCCACATCTGAGATATTCCCTGGTGTGCATCCAATTGCTACTGTTTGACAAAGAATGAATTAGATGGCCTAACATCTGATCCAGGAGGGTTCTACCAATTATTCCTAGTTCTGACTGTATTCAACTATGAAGGACTGGGACTCAAGAAACAAGGACATAAACATGGAGTGAGGCCAGAGAGAACTGGATATTTCTGAATTCCAATTATGAAGGACTAGAGAAGGAAAAAATATATAACATCCATACACTTCGCTTGCTATGCCATTATATTATCCACTGCTGAAAAGCAGGAGACTTGGGTAGACATATCTTGCTTTCTTGCTATCTTATGTAATAAGAGGTTGGCAGATTCATCTCTGCCAGTACTGTACCATACACAAATGGGTCACGTAACATGTCAAGAACTTTTATTCACAACTGTCTTCTCTACAAGAAGAGATTCTGAATGCAAAAAAAAAAAAAAACAACCCATGGGGCAGAAGAAAGCAAAAACTGGCAGACATTAATCCAGAGAAGTACGTAAGAGTGTGTGTGTGAACCTATCTTTGAAGTGCACATGATCTTGGTCCTATTTTATTTTAAAATTGTCATCTGAAATGCCCGTTTATAAATTCTGGACCTGCAAAAAAAAAAAAGGGCATCAATAATATCAGCAATAATTAGAAAACACAGGTGAGGGGCGGGTTTGTCTGGAAGTTTGGACTAAGCTACCAGGAGACTCAACGCTGAAAAAATGGAGCACCAAACTTCACAATCAAGGTCTTGTCTACCGCAACGTTTTCCCTGAGCATCTTGCGGCAGCCAATGAGCGTCTCTTTTCCTCCAGATCTGCTCTCCCATTGGCTGCAGCCTGTCATTCTTTTGCTCGTCTAAGACAAGGTTGGAGTTAGAGGATCTGCGTTCAATAATCGGTTTCCTCACATCTCGGCGCTAATCACAGCAGGGAGATTAAAACAGTAATTGATCGGTCGATCTTTACCCCCCCCCCTTTTTTTCCAACTATTTCTCCTTATCCAGCTGACCGCAAATCCCTGCCGCCTTTTCTTCTCCCGAGTTTTTTTTCCACGCAATGACAGCCCGTTGCCTGATCTGAAAACCCCGCAGGGCCACCATCATGTTGAGGCAACACTTTTCCTACGAGCTGGTTCGCTACACGCAGGGCCCCTCCGCCTTGCTTCCCAAACAAGCGGAGGAGAGCAGGCCGGACTTTGCGGCGGAGCAGTTCCAGGCGCGATCCGGGACCGGGACCGGGACCGGGACCCCCCGGGCGGGCGGCAGCAAGAGCGAGCAGCAGCTGCTGCGGAGAAAGATCAACAGCCGCGAGCGGAAGCGGATGCAGGACCTCAACTTGGCCATGGACGCGCTGCGAGAGGTGATCCTGCCTTACTCGACGGCCCATTGCCAGAGCTCGCCCGGGCGGAAGCTTTCCAAAATCGCCACGCTGCTCTTGGCTCGGAATTACATTCTTTTGCTGGGAAGCTCGTTGCAAGAGCTCCGGAGAATCATCGGGGAGATTAGCGGCTCCTCGGGTCCCAGGCTGCTGCTGGCTGGACTGCCTCTCTTCGCCGCCGCTGCCGCCGCCGCGGTGGGCCCGGGCCCGGTGCTGCTAACGCCGGGGATCGGGAGCCACCACCACCACCTGCCCCACCACCACCACCACCCGGACAGGCTGCGACCGGCCAGCAAATACCTCTCGGCGGCGGCCCTGGAGGAGCAACCGTGCGGCCACGTGCCCGTCCCCGATGGGGCTACCCTTTGCTCCTGCGCCGCTTGCAAGTTCCCTCATTTGTTTCCTTCCGGCTTCGGGGTGGCCGCGGTGCAGACGCAGTTTTCCAAATGAGCCTGGCCCTCCTGAGCTGAGGGGGGGGGGATGGAGATGGAGGGGGCCCAGCAGGCGGCGATGGAAAATGGTGGGAGGGCGGCGGCCCGGAGGACTCGAGGAGCCTGGCGGCTTCTCCTTTTTTATTACACGGTTTGCACCACGGGGCAGACAGGCGAGAATGTTCAAGACCCTGAAAGGGACGGTTTAAATCGGGTGCGCGATCACTGGGACAAAAGTCTTGATTTTGGCCCTCGGGTACCATTTGAAGAAGAGGGTCAGAATGGGGCAATTGTATTAAAGAGGTTAAATCGTCCAACTCTAACCCAAGCTGACCACCTGATGACGTAGCTTTGCACGGGACCTGAAATCCATACCAAGCCTGTTAAGATTTGTAAAAGAGGGATCATGGAACCCCAGAAGTGGAAGAAGCTTTCCTCTGCTTGGTGCAAAATCCAAATGAAAAAGCATTCCAGGCAAATGGGCGTCCAGCCTCATTGAGCACATCCAGCAGAGGAGAGTCACAGCCCTTGGCAATGGGTTCCATTGTCAAACTGCTTGGTCAGTTGGAATAACTTCCTGTAATTGGACATCTTAATCTGTGTCCCACACTCTGGGATGCAGAGAACAAGCCATTCTTCTATAAGAACCATCTTCAGGCACTTGAAAACTATGAGTCTTACCATCCTCAGTTATTTCTGAAGGCTTAGACATGCCCAACTCTTTCAGGCTCTTCTTGTAAGGCGAGCAGGATTCACACTACAGCAGTGACTTTTGGCATTAATACAGCAAGGAGAAAAGTTTTCAAACTTCAGTGATGGCTTAGTGACATTCAGAAATGCCATAAGATTCTAGTTGAGATCCTGACTAAATATTCAGTGTTTGGATAATCTTGGTAAGGCTTTATACTGGGCACTTGTTCCAATATTTCAGAGTCTCTCTCTCTCTCTCTTAAGTCCCCAGAAACTGTGATACTAAGAATGTAATATAGCTCTCTACTTCTGGGATTTGAAAAATATACTAAGCTGTATTTGCCTTTTCAGCAGCTATGCCAGCTGATTCATATTTAGCAACTGATTCCCCTATTCAGTATCTTGTATTTGATTTTCTACATGAAGAATTTTCTCTTTCTATTAAATGTCATTCTTTTTTTCAGTCAATCTATCTAGATTGTCTTGATTTTTTTTCCTGTATATTAATATATTAGCTGTCCTACTGAGTTTTGTGTAATTTGCAAATCTGTTAAGCACTGCTTCCACCTACTTATCCATATTAATGAAAATAATGATGAGTCAAGTCTAGGACTAAATCCCTGTGGCACACCACTTGAAACTTAACTGCAATTCAATGAGTATTCTTTGAGCAATGTTTTCAACATATATGCCGGCCAGCCAATACTTAGCTAATCAAAATATCATGTAATTTTTTTTTTGAAATTTAGTTGCTCCTAGTGCAGTGGAATTTCCTTTCAGTAAAAATGTATAAGATCACATCTGTGTTCCTGATTTCCGAGGTGTACTCAGGCTTTTTTCCCATGAAATCAGTGAAACTTAACTATGCTTAAGTCCTACTGTTCCATTGTCCAATACAATGACTAGTCTCTCTTGTATTGGTGAAAGTCTTAGCAACTTTGAAACTGACATTTGTATATTTATTGCCTACTTATATTAGTTGTAGATTGTCTATCAGTGACAATCCACAGTTATTGCATTGTTTGAAAATAACGCAACTTGGTTTTCAAAAATTACTTAAAGCAACCTATCTGCTTGTGGAGAAGTTAAATCTTATAAATTAGTTAGTTCATTTAATGAGCTAATATCCCAGTGTTATGGGTTCTTCACTGATTTTGTTTAAACTAGTTTAAGCACCATGTTATTCACATACTTTTGTTCATATGCCAGCAACTGAAATATCTATATAGCAATAACATTTTTAATATTAGAGTTTCAATCCTAAGCACACCCTTTAGGAAATAAGATCAATTGAACTAGTGAGCCTTACTTTTAGGGAACCAGGAACAGAATTTATCAGAACACTTCTAAACTGCACTCAGAAAGAAAAAGAAATGAATGTACTGACTTCACAACTTTGAGTGGAGTGATTGTAGGCTTCTTACCAATATTGTGGTCTTTTTGCATGCACAGTACTCTGATGCATTATTATTGTCTTAATGTAATGGATTAATATAAATGATTTTTAATATTTTTTCTGTAATAGCAAAAATGAATATACCTCTATAGCAGGGGTGTCAAACTGCCGCCCCCGGGCCAGATGCATCATAGAGAAACCGCGCCCACCCCATTGCCGGCAATGGCAAAAAAGTTACAATATGTCGCAACATGTCACATGATGTTGCGAGTTTGTTAACCCTGCTCTATAGCAATCCCAATAATAATACCAACTTAAACTTCTCAATAAGATAAGAATATTGCACCATATCTAAAAACTGCATAGTCAGAAAATCACACTGGATATCTGAAGAATTGCTGATGCTTAGGTGAAAAGGTAATACAGAGCAAAATTAATCAAATCATTTTTAGAACAGACTATATTAAAAGCAGGATGTGGGCGCTGTATAGTTAATGCTGTAGAGACTACCTTCCATTCATTTCAATGTAGTTTCTCTAAAGCATTCATTAGGTTCACAATGAATGAGATACATTACATTGAAGATAAATGTTTGACACATCTCTATGATGAAAGGCAGGATCAGTTACTTTATCTGTTTTTTTCTGGGAGAGCAATCTAGTGTTCCACCAGAACTACAGAATACTCTTACTTCAGCAGAAATGTAATATGAATATGCTGAGCAAGAAACCTTAATTGGTACCAGTTTTGAGCACCCCATATGCAGTTTTGTAATGGAGATTTGAGATTTATTGTGTCATTCAGATTACAGAGCTCAAGTAATGGGTCCAACATGGCACCCATGTAGTGTTTCAAATAATGGTGTGAAACTTCATATAAAGAACCATACACAATGAGTTAAAAAATCCTGTAGTATTTAAACTGTCTTGCTCAACATATTGTATGAACATGGTCAATGTAACAGCATGATGAACTGAGAATATTTTACAAGGATTGTGTTCATTTTGGTGAGATGATTTAATCTGGATAGGAAAGCAAAGCAAAGCAGGAAAGTCTATGTAAGATAGGAAGAATACATGCAGTTTGTTGTCTTGTCCACTATCGAAACCCTTCGTCAGACTGACTGATTTGGAAAAGTTAGCAAATCTTGGCTGGCCTGGACTGATATCTGAAAAAGACACTGTTGTTTACAAATCTTGGTTAAAAGAAACCATAGTTTAACAGGACGTATGTACTCAGTATGTACTGAGAAATTGGTGAAGATTTCAGAATGTATGCCAAGGTAGATGAGCTCAAGATTGCAGCTGTAGCTTTCTCCAGTCATCAAAGGACTGTACCAGCAGTCCTTGATTTACAACCATTCATTCAGCAATTATTTGAAGTTACAGCAGCACTGAATGAAGGGATTTTATGACTGGTCCCTGAAGTTACAGCTGTTGTAGTGGCCTCATGGTCGTGTGATCAAAATTTGGGTGTTTGTCACCTCACCCATGTTTATGATAGTAAGCACACTTCGACTCCCCCACCTCCCTATTTCCCCTTTGACCCCCTGCCCTCCATAGCCCCTGCTGCCCTAGTTGACCTTCCCCATTTTCTTCCTCCTCCTCCTGACCACGCTATGCCTGTCCTGACCCCTCACAAAGCAGCTGCTGGCCACATGAGGCTTCCTTCCCTATGTCGTGGACCATGCTTTTTTCATGAGATCTGGGGAAGATGGCTTTACATGGCTACAGCTGCCTTGGGAAGGGCCAGGGCAGGCACACCTAAGTGAAGAGAAGCAAGAAGACAGTGAAATTCAGCTGAGGCGGCTGTAGTGTCAGAGTTGAGGGTGGCTAGGGCGATTGTGGCCGGGATTGGGCTGGGGCAGCTGAGGTTTGATGGCTTAAATTGGGGTGGGTCTCAACTAATGACCAATGGAATTTGATTAATAATAACAGTGGTGAGTGCTGGGATCACCGCTGCTAAGAGATGCGGTTATGTGACATCGTACTTTGCGAAGGCTTCACTTAGTGATGGAAATTCTGACCCCAATTGTGGTTGGAAGTCAAGGATTGCCCGTCTGATAGTTCCCATCTGTGAATTCCCCAATTAATTTCAGAAAAACAAAAAAAAAGTACTCATGATCAGATGAAATAATAAAAAAACTCTGGAATGCTCGTGTATAGGACATATTTATTTATCTTATTTATAAAGGCGACTCTGAGTGGTGTACAACACAGCTAAAACAGTGAATAAATAAAACACTTATTATAAAAAAATATAAAAAACAACAAAGGAGATAACAGATGAAAGGATGTCAATAATAATCACAAGTTCACTTGTTTAAAATATTTAACATTTAAAAACATGGTTTGAAGAAACTTTTTGGAATCTTGTGGATTTTTTTTAAAAAAAATGATTTTCTCTGTGCAATAGCTTTTACAGTATAAAAACTAGCAATACATTAGCTATTTTATTCAGAGCTCATGCATGACAGACCAGAGGTGCAGGAAAGTCCCAATGCTACAATCTAGGATCAATCAATCAATGACCAAGAGAAGTCCAGGAGTGCCTGACCTGTTAAATCATCTATGTGTAGATGATTATCTACACATAGAGAATAACAAAATGCATAATTCTTCAAATTGAAAAAATATTCAATATTCGTGGAAAGAAAGGGGAAATATATTGGTCTAACCCAAGTGCCTGATGTTATTCTTGGTGTGTTACTCAAGTCCTCCATGTCATGTCTTGAGCATCAGTTGCTTTATTCATGTTAATGGGTGTAACCTCCCACTTCACGGCCACTAAATTTAAAAATCCTCTGGTTTTCAACTATGCCTGAATGTAACCTAATTCAAAGAGATGCCAAAGGTCCTGGTAATTTATTAGACAGTGTGATCACCAGGAATCAGAAGATTTGTAGAGTAGCTGAAGCTCACAACTTTTTACCA